TTAAAATAATCCAAATAATCCAAAAATTATTTAAATACCTGTAATGCTTGTTTTTGACTCATTCTTTCTTGCCATTCTTTTTCATCCTCCTCTTCGGAACTGAAAGTCAAGCATACATTTATAGTATCAATGACTTGAATGGCTTCTTCACAAAGATTTACTGAATCTAAAGTGCTGCTAGTTACAAGAGGTCAGTGGTAATAAGCGAGATAGTAAGATCTATGTTGTTATTGTTTACAATCTTGTGAAGAAAATGAATTAAAAATTGCATGTAATGTAGTAACTATTATCACAAGGAAACAGCAAGTTGTCAAAGTGCAATAAACACAGTCACTTCTTTTCAACTAGGGGAGTGATGAAAACTTTCCGAAATACCCTCAAATTATATTGCCTGATGTGAGCCATAGAAAGTAAGCGGGTTCTACTTACCAAGTGTGCAAGAGATTTATGGAAACAAGTGTTCCAGTGAGGAAATAATTTCTATAAACATGAAAACAAAAGAAAAACTACGTGGCTAGAAGAGGGTAAAAGGTATGGCTGGTGCAGAATATTGAAGGTTTTTTCCTAAAGAAATGAGATGCTAAAAAATGCTCTTTAAGTAGGAAAATAGAAAAAAAACAGATTTATGTTTTAAATAGGATATTACAATGCAAAGCAGAGACTGGACTTGGCAGGGAGAGATTTTTGCTGAATTGCTGAACTCATCATCAAAGACAGAGAATGACACCTGGAAGCTATCACAGTGAGAGAGACAAAAGAAGATGCTGACATAATGTAAGGTGATGGCAATGGAAATAGAAATAGAAACAGAAACAAGCTCAGACAATAGCAAATTGGTGTTCTGAAGCTACTAGAAAAAGAACGGGAGAAGATGGGGACCAAGAAAAGCTGTTAAGATTTCTAGTTCTCCACCTTCATTTCAAACAAAGAAGTCACTAACAGTCCACAAAGATGCCTGAGAAAGAAGAAACATAAAAAAATATTTAAAAAAAAAACAAAACAGGACAGACGATAGCCTTGTTAAATGGTGCTAAGAAATCAAATAAATTGAGAATTAAAAACATTCTAGAGCGCTCTGGTGGTCTACTATTCACGGAGTCTACTGCTAATCCAAAGGCTACACTAATCTGATGGCTCAAATTCAACAGAGGCCCCAAGGGGAAAAGATGGACAATATGTTCCCATGCAATTTACAGCCTCAGAAACCCAATGGAAGGTCAGCTATCATCTATTCCAACTCAGGGGCAATGTGGTTAAGAACCTTCTACCAGATTTAGCAGTAAGGATGCCATCTCAATGTAGTTTTCTAGCGTGGTGGTATAACAGAAATATTAGAGAATTAAATAAGCATAGTATGTGTAACTAAAGCAAAGGAAAACTGAAATCCATGTCCCTATGAAATTGAAATCAACAGTACTAACAGAATCTGTTTAGAATGAAAAAGAATAATATGACACAAACATAAATCACTAAAACACAGGGATAAGTTTACAAATAGAAAACTTATCTATCAAAAAAATGCTGAAAATACAAAGAAATACTCAAAATCACTGGCAAGCAAAACCACAATGAAATACCATCTCACCCCAGTAGCAGCGGCAAAGTTTAACAGGACAGCAAGTGATAAATGGAGAGGATGTGGCTAGATAGGAACTCTTATACACTGTTGGTGGGATTGTAAAATGGTACAACCATCCCGGAAGGCAATTTGGCATTTCCTCAAAAAAAGCTAACCTTAGAAATTTCATATGACACAGCTATTCCATTGCTTGGAATAAACCATGAGAAATGAGAACTGAGGCATAAATGTAGACTTGTATACTAATATTCATAGCAGCTTTATTCACCATAGCAAGAATATGGAAACGGCCCAAATGCCCAACCACAAAGAATGGATTGGTACATTCACACAACGGAATACTACCCAGCACACAGGAGCAATGATTTTGTAAACTACCTAACATGGAGAGCATTATGCTAGGTGAGCTCAGTCTCATAAAGACAAACCCTGTATAAGCCCATTATTGTAGAACAAGTATGAGGATACAAGGAGGCGCTTAATCACATGGTTGCACAATTTGATGGGTGGAGGGAAGGGTGGATAAAGGAAAGAGGAAAGATTCGGTGTCAAAAACAAAGTATACGAATTCTGTAAGTAAAGCAGTATAAAATAAAAATTAAAAAAACACACACTGAAAGGTGTCTAGAATGTATATTGCAGCTGCTTTAATTCCCATATATCTTACCATGTAGATGAACTATAGAGGTTTAAGCTTGATTGAATAAAGTAATAATTAAAATTATGCTTTTAAAATAGTAAAACATTTACCTATTTTTTTCTTCTTCTTGTAAAGGTGGCAAAACATAGATGTCATCTTCTCTTTGCACTTGAGTAAGGCTGGGTAGTGCTTCATCTCTAAAATACACATATATTATTTAAGCAGAGATTATATGACACAGTGTTTTATTTAATTATTCTACTCATGAATTACACAAGCCTTGTTCAAGAAGTGAAAAGGGGAAAAAAAACCCCACATTGACAAGGGACTTTTTAATGACCTAGCTCTGAGCTAAGTTACAACTTTGCAAAAGAAATACATATGAATGGGGGAAATAAGCCCTGATGGTGTAATAAAAAATGGTTGAGTCCACAATTTTTTTTTTCCCACAGAAAAAGAAGGGCAGTCCTCGCCCTTAGAGATTTACAGTCTTGGAATCCAAATGGAGGGTCGCTATGGGTCAGAATCAACTCAGTGGCAATGGATTAAGATGGGAAAGGTTACTTTTTATAGCTTCTTAAAGTCTTGATCACAGACTTAATTATATCCATGAAGTATTATAAAAGTAAAAGGCATATACAAAGCAACATTTCATCTTTTCTTCCTCACTACCAAAATTAATTTCCACAGAATGGAGAATTTTCAAAACTTCAAGTAACTAGGTCAAATATTATCCTACTATTTCTGGCTCATTTCAACCTCTGTTTTGAGAGTTAAAATTAGGGAAAGGAAACCACAGTAACTTGACAAGAAAAAAAATTAAACTTTAAGATCAATGTAATATTTGCCTTGCCTTTTGCTTTTTAAGGCAGTTTTAATAGCTTGTCTTTTCAAAAATGTTTTCAAGAGCTTCTCTGTAGTTTTTTTTGAGTCACTGTTAGCCAAATCCTTTCTCTGTCTTCTCTTAGCCTGGGGAAAGAAAGGATGTAAGATTTTGCTTGCAGGCATTAGTATATTAAAAACATTCCTATAACATCTGCTTGTCTGAGGTTACAGACTGTGGCTGTTTTAGTATTTCCTCCAAATTGCTTTATCAAAGATCTAAACATCTTTACGTCTCAGCTGTGTAAAGGACATCCACATTACTTATTACAGGCTCTGGCTATTACACACTGTATTTGAGAAACTATTAATTTACTTTTAGTAAACTTTTTTTAAGCATTCCAATGTTTTATTTTCATTTTCCCCCCATTGTTGCACATTTTCTTCCCTCCCTCCCCCCACCTCTTATCCTCTCTGGAATATTGTTCCAGACTGTTTTCTTACATATAATGCCTAATCATACAATCCTTTTGGACAGTTCTTCCCTTCATCTGACTTACTGCAGTGGTCATTCTCCATCCACACTTTTCCCATTCTCTCCCCAACCTGCCCCCAGGTCTGTCCTATTTTATAACAGCAGTGTTATGCAGTATTTGTCCTTTTGTGACTGAAATATTTCACTCAGTATAATGTCCTCCAGGCTCACTCATGTTGTGTAATGTTTTAAAAATTTATTGTTTTTCAATGCTGCATAATATTCCATTGCATGAATATACCATAGTTTTTCTAATCATTAATTTGTTAATGGCATTTGAGTTGCTTTCCTCTCTTTGCTATTGTGAATAATGCATCCATAAACATGGGTGTCCATATATCTGTTTGTGTTGTGGCTCTGGTTTCTTCAGCGTTTATTCCCAGTAGTGGAATTGCTTGGTCAAATGGTATATTTTACTTCCAACTTTTTGAGAAAGCACCAGACCACCTTCCATAGTGGTTGTACCATTTTACATTCCCACTAGTGGTGAATAAGAGTACCCATCTCTTCACAACTTTGTCAACATTTGTTGGTTGCTGGCCTGTTGAACTTTGCTATTGTTGCTTGGGTGAGATGATAGCTCATAGGTGTTCTGATGTGCATCTCTCTGAAAGCTAGGGATATTTTGAACATTTCTTCATGTTTTTGTTTGCCGTCTGAATATCTTTGCTGAAATGCCTATTCATATCCTATGCCCACTTTGTAAATGTATTATTTACCTTTTTCTTGTTGAGGCGCTGGAGTATTAATTTTAGATATAAGACCCTAATCAGTATTGAATATACCATGGACTTCCTAGAGAACAAACAGGTTCTTCCTAGAAAAGGTGAAACCAGGCTGTTCCTTGGAGGCAAGGATTCTGAGACTTTGTCTGACATACTTTAGGTATGTTGCAAGGAAGAACTAGTCCTTGGAAAGGGACATCTTGTTTGGAAGGGTGGAAAGACAGCACAAGAAAGGAAGACCCTTGATGAGACATATTGATTCAGTGTCTGTGGTAATGAGGGTAGTCGTGTCACAGACAGTAGTTTGGCATGGGATAGAGCAGATTTCAGGGTTGTGGTACACAGGGTCGCTATTAGTCCCAAGCGACTCGACAGCACATAACAGGTCATTGCCAGACATTTTTTTCCTAATTATGGGTTTTCTTCTTACCCTGTTGAGTAAGTTTTTTAATGTGCATAGGGATATGATTCTTAGAAGGTCCTATTCATCTATTTTATTATCTCCTGGTTATAGGTTTTTCATTATGCTTGGAAGACTGTTCATGCCGTTGATTAGGGATTCTTGAGTTCTACCCAGTTTTTCTGTTATTAATTTTATAGTCTTGGTTTTACTTCTAGGTCCCTGATCCACCTTGTATTGGTTTTTGTGTATGGTGTGAGCTGTGGATCTTGCTTAAGTTGTCTCAAGATGGTTTTTCCATTTTGCCAACACCATTCATTAAAGAGACTGCCATTTCCCCACTTAACTGATTTCATCTTCTTGTCAAAGATCAGTTGATCATAGGTAGTTAATCATAGGTAGATGAGCTGATTTCTGGGTTCTCAATCCTATTCCATTGGTCTATATTTCTGTCACCGTACCAGTATCACGCTGTCTTGATCACCAGAGCACTGCAGTAGGATTTGAGATCAGGTAATGTGATGCCTCCTACCTTCTTTATCTTTTTCTTGATTCTGAGTTGGAATTCCTATCCATAAGCATGGTATGCTCTTCCATTTCTCAAGGTCTCTTTATATTTCTTGTAGTAATGTTTCATAATTTTCTTTGGATAGGTCTTTTGTCTTTAGTTAGGTTTATTCCCAAGTATTTAATTTTGTGATTAGCTATTATAATTGGCATTGCTTTTCTTAGCTCCATTTCTATATTCTTTGTTACTGTAGAGAAATCCAACTGATTTTTATATGTTGATCTTGTATTCTGCTACTTTGCTAAATTGGTCAACTATGCCCAATAATTTTCTCACTAAATGTGTAGGGTTTTCTAAATATACTAATATATAAATGTATATATTAGTATAAATATATCCTATCATCTACATATAGAAATAGTTTTACTTCCTCTTTGCCAATGTGTATACCTTTTACTTCCTTGTTTTGCCTTATTGCCCTAATACTTGCACTATAAAATTGAATAGGAAAGGTTATGGGGAGCATACTTGCCTAATTCTGTTCTAAAAGGGGAAAGCCTTTAATCTCACTCCACTGAGAACAATGTTGGCTCTTGGTTTTGTATATATATTTTTTTCACAATGTTGAGAAAATTCCCCTCTATTCCTATTTTGTTGAGTGTTTTAATCAGGAAGGATTGTTGGATTTTGTAAAGGCCTTTTCTGCATCAATTGACAGGATCTTGTGGTTCTTCTTTTCTTTGCTGAAGGAAAGCACTTCTGCTTTCCCAGAGAGCCTGCCTGAGTTCTTTATTAGTCTGGCTTATACCTTCTGAAATTAATTCTCTTTAAAAGTCCTTTGACGTTCCCAAGAAGCCTAAAAGTTATGATTCACAATCAAGTAAATGTTTTTTCCAAAGGAATTATTATGATGGAAAGACTAGTAACAGAACTTAATGAACACGCTTTTAAAACACCACTTTTATGCTTCTCTGCAGAAGAGGGATGAGCCATCTCTAGTGTGATTGTACAGCCTCCCAAAATCCCAGTCAGCTATGAGCTGATTCCAACTCCAGGGCAATGAATTTTTAGTTTATGCCAAAGATAGTCTTTCTGAAACTGAAGTTAACTAACAACAACTACAACATTAAAAAAAAAAATCCAACATTGTTGGCTGTAAGCTACTGTAGAGTTGATCTCCAAATCCTAAATCTGTCCCTCAACATTCAAAGTCACATCCTAAAAACATGCTAAAATACACAGAAATATCTTTAAAAAAATGTTCAGTCAGAGAAAAACTAATAGTAGTCACTAAACTTATATAGAGATAATAAGGATTTTTTTTCTCTCTAATGCTACTAAAAATTACTTGTTACAGATTATGCCTTAGATAATTAAAAACTGCAACTGAAACCTTAGAGGTTTTTTCAAAGGGAGCTAATGTTCTCAAAGATTAATATAGTCTTACCTCTCTCTTATATCATCACTCAACCGTATAATCTCTGTCTGGTATAATTACAAAATTATAACCTAGCTTTTTAAAAGTCATGTATCTAAATGAATAATGCTATTTTGGATGATACACAATTATTCCAAGTATTCCAACAATGCTGAACAAATATATTCCAAAATTTCCATCATAACAATAAAGAAAACTATTCTAACTCTTTTATAACACACTATATGATAATTCTCTTTATTCAGTTGGCACTATATATCACTGCTTGCTTCTAAAAATCCAATAGTCCTTCACATTGTTACCAGTGAGCATACTTGGGCTCAGATTCAAGGAGGATTTTTCCAAATAGGTATTCCTTATTCTCTGAACAAAACCAGTATAATTGGAATAAATGTAGACTATATACTATGAAGAGGAAACTCTCATATGGAAGAATTCTAGTAATTTTATTTAAAAGATAAATGTTATCATTCCACTTACAATATGCTTTAGTTAACCTTTTTAAAAAAATTTTTAATATTTAATATTTTTCACAATAAGTAAAAATGTAGCAGAAATACAGTTGCCTAACTTAAAATCGTCCTCAGTTTCTAAAATGCTAAATGAAAAAAATTCTATTAACAATTTGTTGTTTTCTGAGAAAGCTAATTAGATAACAAACTTACCAAAGTCTGTTTCTTCAGTAGTGGAGCATCTCCATCAAAAACAAAAATAGGACGAATCCGAAAAAATAAGAGTTTGCAAAGCCGATGAAACAAAGTGAGAAGATGAGCATTTTCTATGGAATTCCCATGGCGATCTCGGACTCCTTTAAGTGCTTGGTTTAACCAAATGCTAATATCTGGATGAAGCGTTAATGAAAATATTTTGGAATTTCTTTCTCCATTTCTCACAATTTCAAATTCCTAATACTTACGATGAGGAATTGCGCTGCCAACCGGCTCAGTGAGTGAACAATAGGCAATATCCTCCCATGAGATTTAACCTCTGACAGCCTACTGGAAAGTCAGCCATGGGACAGCTCCAGCTCATTACTAAACAACAATAACTTGTTACTGTAGCTGTTAGATGCCGCTGAGTTGAGTACAACTCACAGCACCCTATGAGCAGTCAACCTGAACCTCGCCCTCTCCAGTGTCATCCTCATCATCTCTAACACATTAGAGCCCAGTGCTGAAGTCACCACATCAATCTCCCAGGGTCTTCCTCTCCTTTGCTGACCCTCTATTTTTCCAAGGATGATGTCCCTTTCCAAGGAACAGCCTCACCAAGCTTCATTTCTAAACTATAAAAGATGAACCTTAACTAATTTTGCTACCAAGGAGTATTCTAGCTGTACTTTGTCCAAGACGTATCTGTTCTTGTCTTTGAGTTTTGGTGCTGGATTCAGTACTCTTGACCAGCACCACAACTCAAAGACACCAAATTCTTCTTCTGTCATCCTTATTCACTGTTCAGCTCTCTGATACATAGGCAGGTGATTGAGAAGACCATGGCTTGAATCAGTCACACCTTACTTTTAAACTAACATCATTTTTGGAGAGGTTCCTGATATCATACTTTCCTGATTTCCTGACTGCTAGTACTCAAGGACGTCGATTGTTGATCCAAATAAGATTAAATCATTGACAGCTTCAATACTTTCTCCAGTTATCAAAATGTTGACTGCCAGTCCTGTGATGATCTTTTTTTTCTTAATGTTGAGATGTAATCCATACAAGGAGTCTGTGCTCCTTGATCTTCTGCAGCAAGGATTTCATTTCCTCTTCACTTTCACCAAGCAAATCTGTGCCATCTGCTTAACACAGGTGTTCATAAGTCTTTCTCCAATTCTGCTGCTACATTCTACTTCATAGAGTCCCACTTCATGAACTGTTTACTCAGCATACAGACTGAATGCTCATCATTCCTGACTTGAAACTACGCCGTATTCTCTTGCTTCTTTCAGAAAACAGCTTTTGGGTCTAGGTATAGATTTTGCATGAGCATACTTAATTGTTCAGGGATTCCCATTCTTCTCAATGTTAGCCATCATTTTATATTTCACAAATTCAAATGCCTTACCATAGTCTATGGAACACAACTAGACATTCTTCTAGTATTCTCTACTTTTAGCAAGAATCCATTTGACATCAGCACTGATATCCCTGGTTGCACAGACTCTTCTAAAATCCACTTGAACTTATGGTAGTTCCCTGTCAATGTACTGTTATAGCTGTTTTTAATGATCTTCAACATTATTTCACTTGCATGAGATACTACTGATATTGTTAGATAATTTCCACATACTGTTGGATCATCTTTATTGGAAGTGGGAATAAATATGGATCTCTTCCAGTCAAACAGACAGCTGTCTTCCAAATTTCCTGGCATAAACTTTGAGCACATTCAGGACTGTATCTGTTAGTTAAAACATGTTTATTGATATACCACTGATTCCTGGGGCCTTATATTTCACTAATACCTTCAGTGCAGCATGGACATCATCTTTCATTATCATTGGCTTTTGTTCATGTGGTACTTCCTGAAATTTTTCAGTGTCAATGAATTCTTTATGGTACAGTGATTTTGTGTATTCCTTTCATCTTCTTTTAATGCTTCCTAGATCATTTAAGTTGTATTGCAACTTGAGACTTGAATTTTTCAATTCTTTCAGCTTGAGAGATGCCAAGTGAGTTCTTCCCTTTTTATTCTCTGATTCCAGGTCTTTCCACATTTTGTTATAATATTTTGCTTTAACTTCTCAAGCTGCTCTTTGCTATCTTCTATTCAGCTCCTTTACTTCAACATATCTTTTCATTTTGGCTTGTTGATACTCTAATGCAATTTTCATAGTCTTCTGACATCCATTTGGGGTTTTTTTCTCTTTTTCCTCTTTCTTTGTAATGAACTTTTGCTGTCTCAATAGAGGGTATCTTTGATGTCTTTCCAAAGATTACTGGTGTTCTATACCTCAAATCTGTTCTTAATATAATTTTTAATTCAATGGGGAAAGATTCAAGGTTGTGTTTCGGTTTCTGTGGACTAGATTCATTTTCTCCCACTTTAGCTTAAATTTGCACGTGAGTAATTAATGATCTATTCTACAATCAGTATCTGTCTGGTTTTGACTCCAGATATTGCACTTCTTCAATAATTCTTTCCACATATATAGTAAATCTAATTGCTGTCCAATCCATCAAATGAGGCTCATGTATAAGGCCACCATTTGTGGGGTTGGTTTTTTTTTAAGTATTTGTTATGAATAAATCACCAAGTACACAAAATTCAATCATTCCGGCCTTATTTCTGTCACCAAGTCCATACTTTCCTTTCCAACTACTGTTCCTTCCTCATAGTTTTCAACTTTTGCATTTTAATCACCAATAATTATTAATGCATCTTGATTGCATGTTTGGTCAATTTTGGACTGCTAAAGTTGGTTAGTTGTTGTTGTTTGCCATCAAGTCTGAACTAACCCACAGCTGACCTTCCAGCAAGTTTCCAGAGGTGCTAATTGCATGGGAGGAGACTGTCCATCTTTCTCCCTCAGAATTGCTCGTGGATTCAAACCATGTGCCTTTGGGTTTGCAGTGCAGAGTCTTACTAGGAGGCCAGCAAAACTAAACCCTTGACTCTAAACCCACAGTTCCAGAACTAAACACTATCAAAAAAAGTTAAAAGTCACTGCTGTACAACTACCAGGAGGTCTGGCTCTTGCATCAGCAGTGCAGCTCCCTACAGACTGGGCCACCAGAGGCAAAGCTACTGTGGTTATTAAAAAGATAAACCTATTTTTAGGGACCCAAGAGTAAACAATGAACCTATTATACTCACCTGAAACTGCTACTCACAAACAAAACAACACAACTGGATCTGTTTCAAATGTATGCATTTCAATGAAAATAAAACAAACTCCATTACAGAGCAAACAATCAGATAGTCTCCTAAAGTATGGAGCGTTATCAATATACCTAGAGTATCTTTGACTGTATCTTTTTTTAGATAAAAGATTCATTCTTTCAGGTAAAAAAATAACTGTCCCATAGAAAGGACTTCATATCCCAAAAGAGAACCCTTAGGAATAATCTAAATCACACGTTTTATCATTTCTTATGACAACCTCCTAAAAAAACATTAGAATACTAAACTTCATGCATCATTTAAATAAACGTTAAAATTCTAATTTATTCACCCGTACTGAAAGTGCATAAAATGAGGTAGGTCTTTGCTCAAGTTGTAAGCATTTCGGACACTGAAAGCAGTCCTTTGATTCATATCCACAGGTAAGAAGAAAATCTTCATATTGCAATGATCCTGAAAACCACTGGAGGGCAGCAATAGTATATGTTCATTAAAAAATACTATTTCCCCCATACAGAGTGCGTTCTGTTAAAACTTCTAAATAACGCAAAACTTTATCCCAGATGTATTTAATTTATCTTGGTGAAAATACTTACTTTAAGAATAGTCAGTATTTCACACTACAAAACATATAGTAGTAAGACTTAGAAGAATAGTAAAAATTAATGTTAGGAAATTCTTAATCCTGACATCCAAACGAGATAATAATTACTAGATTTCATTTTAACAGTGACAATACTCTTCTGTGCTTCCTTTCTTTAAATAACTTCTTATTCCTCATATCAGCTGTGTGGTGGGTACTATCATCATCTCACTTTAACAAATGAGAATTACAATAGAGGGTTATGTAACACCGCCCACAAACAGATCCAATCTAGAACAGAATGTTAGAATGCAGAAAACAGAACACGCTGAGGCTACTCACGGGGTGAGACAAACACCTCTATGTCCAAAAGAGAGCAGAGAGTGATCTAAATCAATGCCTGTCATGGATCAACAACACATTAAGGATACCAACAGCAAGAATCTTCCCTTCCAGCGTTTCCGGGCTGATCTGCCTCCCGGAGCCCTCCAGCAGCTTCCAGAGCCCTTGGACTCCCATGTGGAAGGTGTGTCCTTAATGGAATTCGGGAAAAACGGGGGAGCAAAGTTGATCTTCTTCGAGTGACCACCTTTATATTCTAATTATTCTACAGCAGGTTGTACCATCACCGAGGATACGGGGAAGAGGCCCCCTACTCCGGAAAAAAGATTAGTACACATAGGGAAGAGGCTCCAAGCTCCTATTAAAAAAAGATGTTAAAAAAAAAAAAAAGAAATACGGCACACGGTTTTCCAGCGGGAACTGTTGTCTCCAAGAACGCCAGTGGCTGGAGCACTTCCTGGCAGCTGGCACAGCCTCCCGGAAGGGACCAGAGAACGGCCAAAGTTTGGACGAACAAGTCCTGATCTAAAGAGCGCTTTGGCGCAGAAGTTTGTACTCGTAATGGAAATAAGGGAGGAAGATCTAGCACAAACAAGATAAACAATCTGAAGAGGTACTATGCGCACCCATGGCTCCTTGCTTGCGTCCACAAGCCCGGACGTCAAAAGAGGCCCCGCAATTTACAAAACGACAGCATTGCGGAAGTCGCCGCCCTGCGTGGTGACGTTTACGAGCGGCGCTTGCAGCGCGCAGGATGTGAACCGGTGGGTTTGTCACGCTCGTTGTGTGAAGCCGGTCCCTGTGGTTTACAACTTTGTTTCTCCTCGTAGACCAGAAATGTGACTGTGCATTTTCTGGGCTGCCAGTTGTAACGATTCTTTATATTTGATGTTTTTTATAGAACGGTAAGTGCAACTGGTATTAAACGAGTTTTTTTTTTTTTTTTTAAATACAATAACCGTGCCTGTTTTAAAGCCTTAACTCCTGAAATAGTAGCTTTAGTTTTCAACAGCGTCAACACTTAGGATTCTACAACTTGAGGTCAGAAATTACAAATTAATTGTCTCAGTAACCCTTAAAAAAACAAGACTGGATGACATATAATAGTGTTCAACATTGTTACATCATCTGTACAGAAAGTCTATTTCCTCATCTGTGAGCATGAAGCTAATCTACCAGGCTATTTTTATTAATGATTTGAGGTATATTGTGTGCAAATCTTAGGTCAGCAATAGTTATTGACGAAATGGTAGTATTTACATGCAAATTAATTTAAAATCTCATAATAAAACTACATCTGAACTCAGTGAAAAGGTTGACTTAAGTAAGCAGTTAATTTTTAACTTCTTAGGAATCCTATTTAAAAAACAAGTTTTTAACAGATGGTTCACAATAGACATTCTGTAATTTAAGTTACAATCAAGAACAGTCTCGGGTATATCCTTGATAATGCATATTTTCCAATTCCTCCAACTTTGTGACTAATGAGATAAGAGAATGATAGAATTTTGTACAACCAATGGTTCAATTCTTGCAAATACTTTTAAAAAGTAAATGGTAATTATTCTAGTTGACCTCACATGATGGACCAATATAGGAGTGAGACTGAGTAGATCTAAATAAAGAATGTTGTTGGCTGTTGTTGTTGTTATGTGCCATTAAGGTGCTTGTGACTCATAATGACCCTATGTACAAGAGCCCTTAATCCTTCTCTATCATGTATCAACCTCACTCTCTCCGACACACCTACTCCCACTACCCTAATCACTGAATCGATCCATCTCATCGAGGGTCTTCCTCTCCTGCTGTCCCTCCACTCTCCGAAACATGATGTCCCTCTCCAAGGGCCAGTCCCTCCTTGCAATATGCCCGAAGTATGTCAGATGAAGCTTCAGAATCCTTGACTCCAAGGAGCAGCCCGGCTTCACCCTCTCCAAGATGAACCTGCTCATTCTCTTAGTTCATAGTATATTCAACACTCTTCTCCAGCACCACGGCTGAAAGGCATTAATTCTCTTTCTATCATTCCTAGTCACTGTCCAACTCTCTGATGCATAGCACACAACTGCGAAGACTATAGCCTGGATCAGGTGCATCTTAGTCTCCAGCCTGACGTTGTTGTTCTTCAGTACCCTTGAGAGGTCTCTCAAAGCTGACTTTCCCAATGCAATTCATCTCTTGATTTCCTGGCTGCTGTTACCAAGAGTGTTGACTGTGGAGCCAAACAAACTAAAACTTAACTATCTCAATCTCTTCACCATCCATACTGATGATGCCAATTGGCCCAGTGGTGAGAATCTGTTTGTTTGGTTTTGTTTTTTTTTTTATGTTGAGCTTCAATCTGTATTGAAGGATACAGTCCTTGACCTTCTGAAGCAAGCGCTTCAGGTCCTCCTCAGTTTTGGCAAGCAGTGTTGTGTCATCTGCATAACACAGGGAATCTTTCACCAATCCTGATAACACATTCCTCCTTATACAGCCCAGCATCCTGGATGATCTGTTCTGCATACAGATTGAAAAGGTATGGAGATAGAATACATCCCTGGCAGACCCCCTTCCCAATTTTGAACCATGCAATGTCATCTTGCTCTGTTCTGATAACTTGTTGTTGTTGTTGTTGTTATGTGCCGTCGAGTTGCTTGTGACTCATAGCGACCCTATGTACAACAACCCTAAACTCTGCTCTGTCCTGTGCCAATCGCACTGTCTCTGACACTCCCATCCCAATTATCCCAGTCACTGAATCAATCCACCTCATAGAGGGCCTTCCTCTCCTGCGCTGTCCCTCCATCCTCCCAAGCATGATGTCCCTCTCTAAGGACCGGTCTCTCCTCACAACATGTCCAAACTATGTTAGACGGAGCCTCAGAATCCTTGCCTCCAAGGAGTCACCCAGTTTAACCTTTTCCAGGACAAATCTGTTTGTTTTCCTAGCAGTCCATGGTATTCTCAATACTTTTCTCCAGCACCACAGCTCAAAGGCATCAATTCTCCTTCTATCCTCCTTGGTCATTGTCCAACTCCCTGATGCATAACAAGTGATCGGGAAGACCAAAGCCTGTATCAGACGCACCTTAGTCTCCAGAGAGACACCATTGCTCTTCAGTACTTTGGAGAGGTCCCTAACAGCAGACTTTCCCATGGCAGTGCGCCTTTTAATTTCCTGGCTGCTGATGCCAAGACTGTTGATTATGGAGCCAAGCAAACTAAAGCTGTGTACAATCTTAATCTCTTCACCATCCATCCTGATGCTGCCAATCGGTCCAGTGGTGAGAATCTTTGTCTTCTTGACATTGAGCCTCTATCCATATTGTAGGCTGCAGTCCTTGACACTCTGCAGCAGGCACTTCAGGTCCTCTTCAGTTTCTGATGACTAGAAGCTCAAAACCGGCAGTCAAAACCAGACCAGAGGCTGATTGTGGGAAAACCATAATTTGCTCATGGGCAAGTTCAAAATGAAGCTAAAATAAATGAAAAGTCTTCAAAAATGAAACTATGACTTTCAGTTTATATCACCCAAATTTAAAAACCGTATCAAGAATACATTTGAGAGGGAGCTTTGGTGGCCTAGTGGCAAGAAGCTGCACTGCAACCCCGAAGGCAAACAGTTCAAATCCACCAGATGCTCTGCTGGAGAAGGAGGGGCAATCTCCTCCTGTACCAGTCAGATCCAATTTGATGGTACACACACAAAAAATAATAAAATCAATTTTAATAAAAGAATACATTTGAGGCCATGATACTAATAACTGAAGATCAGGGGAGTTGGTGGGATGACAGTAAGGATGTCATTCATGAATAAAGCAAAGGTCATTACAAACCTATCAGATAAAGACCAAAATAAATATTGGAATAGACACTGAAACTTGCACCAGAACATAGAGGATTTCCATGAACAACACCAGAATACAAAGCAAAATAAGGAGATGTGGAAAGAAATGGGAGTTAGAAAACCAAAAGAGAAGAACACAATTGCCATTTCTCAAGAGTTGAAAGAACTGAAAAACGAATTCAAGCCTTGAGTTGCAAGACTGAAGAATTCTATAGGCAAAATCTTGAATGATGCAGGATACATTAAAAGAAGATGGAAGGAATAAAAAAACCAGGGGGGGGGTGTGCAAAAAACCCTAATTGGTTGGCACAAAACATTTCAAGAAGTATCAAGAACTAATGCTAATGAAAGACGATGTTCAAGCTGCACTGAAGACATTGGGGGAAAATAAGGCCCCAGGAATTGATTTGTTTCAACAAGCAGATGCAGCCTTAGATGTGCTCACTTGTTCTTATGTGCCATCAAGTCATAGAGACCCTATGAACAGTAGCTCTGAACTCTGCCATGTCATCTCACGGTCTCTGACATACCTGCCCCATTACCACAGTCACCATCTCATCCAGGGTCATTGTCTTCTGTGCTGACTCTCTCTCCATCCTTCCAAACACGCACATCTTAAAATGCATGATAAAATATTTAGAATAGAGCTAAATGGCCTGCTGACTGGAAAATACCCATATATTTTTACATTAAAAAAAAAAAAACCACCAAAAATGGTGATCTAACAAAATGTGGGAATAAGCTGTAAAAAGAACACAGGCCACGTGAGGATAGCCATGATCTTTACCAACTTCATAAAGGGGAACTCCTTCAACAACACAAAACCAATTTCCATGAGTACAGACATGTTCCTCACATTTCCACACCTTTCTACTTATCCCAACACCAATCTTAACTGCTTTACAGGGTCCAAATTCAGATGCAATAGCTCACAGACCACACAGAAGTGTATTGGCGAAGTCAAAAGGTTATCAATCAGTTGGCAACATGATACACTCAGCCATGGACAGCTTCTGAAATGTGTTCACAGGTACCTCAGCCTTGAGCAGAGCAGCTTTAGGCCAGTGTTACAAAGCTCTCAGTTCTGTGAATCACAACTCTTCCCAACCTCCAACGAACTTGATCAAAAGGCTCTGAGCTCTGATTCAAAGGTGTAGTGGTTCCAAGGTCTTCCAACAGGTCTCTGTTGCCTGCTGCACCTACTATGGCTGCTTCTTCCATAAGACCTGGTCTGACCAGCACAAGAATCTCTGGCCCAAAGGACACATTTCTTTCTTGCTCAAGGTAAAGTTCTTCAGTTCTGCTGTTGGAGCAATTTAATGGCGAGACTAGGCAATCCCCTTGT